CATAACTCATAAGGGGTCGTTCACATATTACGTAATCACTTTTTGGTCAATTTTTAGCCCCCCCCCCCCCCCCCTCGACTCCGTAATCAGTTTTACAAATATAGCTATTGTATCAAAGTTACACTAGCGTAATAATTTGGAAACCCCCTCCCCCCTCGGCTGATCACGTGATATGTTAACGACCCCTAAGACAGCAGTTGCTTTTACTTTTTTAAATTCGATGACTATCGAATATCGATGACTGTTAACTTAGTCGATCACTAACCAGTGCTCGAATGTATTTGATTTAAGTTATCCAAAATTATTGAATGATCGTCTTTTATTTAAATATTCGTTGTTATATATTTTGCTTTAATTTGTGTAGCAGATGTGTATAAGATTACTAGTAACCCTGTAACACATCTGAAATATAGAGGTAATTAGTCTTTCTGACAAACTTTTCTTTAACACGACTAGAACTAAATAGCTCTTATACTCATAGGTGGATATTAGTCCCAAAAGTTCAAACTGTGATATCTTAGCCAACCCGATATCAATGAAGACTATAATGAAAAGAAATCCAAATAAGGACGAACAGTTTTTAAACGTCACGCAAACGTCCACCCGTTATTTTACGTGAAAATAACATATGTTTAAAGAAATTTCCTCAATTAATTAACCTTTTTGATGCACTTCTTGACTCAATATCCTAAGGCTTGAAAATCAGTATAAAGAGATAAAAATGTTTCATCTCACACGAAATATTAGGACCTCAAATAATTTTTTTTTGATTACGCGGATGGTATGCTCCAACGATTCGAAACTGGAAACTAATTTTAAAATCTGTAAACATCATGTGCAATTAAGCATAGTTTAATATGCTAATGACCGACAAGCTGATTGCGTGTGGATATTTTTAACCAGTTTATCAAGATTGGGGTGGGGGGTCCAACCCGATCGTTTTCCGATCATTCCGAGCCCGATTTGGCCTCAACAACCCCATATCGAAAACATCGGGAAAATTTAATCTTTCCTCTGAGTTTCTAGGCGAAATATGTAGCCATGTTCTGTACTTAATATGACAAGAATCGATTGTGGTGGTCCCCAAACCCCAAAATGTTTCATGTTTCCAAACAAGAAACGTTTCGTCCGAAAACAACACACTGTCGTATCAACTCTTGTTTGACAAAACATCCCCCCCGGTCCACAAATGAAAGAGGTACGGTTGGTAAAAACAATCGTAACAAATAGAGAACGCTAGTAACTTTTGGATTTAAATTGTCTCCACAATTGTAACAGGGCAATCTGCAGAAAAGGAGCAGGTTAAAGACAATTGACCGTGCAACACATTTCATGAGAGGACTGATGAACGGGAGGAAGGAGGACATAAGAGAAACCGAGGCTAAGGACGACGAGAACTGCGGACGAGGACGATATCGAGGACGAGGACTGAGGTTAGGACCTGATAAGAAGGAGAGAGGACTGAGGATGACGAGTGAGGAGAAGGAGGAACTGGGGAGACTAGGAGGATGAAGAGGACTGAGGAGGAGACTAGGACTGAGGAGAAGGAGACTGAGGAGGACAGAGGAGGACCAGGACGAGGACCTAGGAGGATGAGGACGAGGACTAAGGACAAGGACTGGGAGATGAAGGACGAGACTAAGGGACGATGAGGATGAGGACGATGACAAAGTACGAGGAGGAGGACGACGAGGAGGAGACTGATTAGGAGGAGAAGGAAGAGGAGAAGGAGGAGGAGGGTGAGGAGGAAGAACTGAGGGAGGAGGAGGAGGAGAAGGAGGGAAGACTAGAAGAAAGAGAGGACTGGGGAGGACTGAGGAGGAGGAGAAGGACCCGAGGAGGACTGAAGGAGGAGGAGGAACTGAGAGGAGGAGGACTGAAGAGGAGAGGAGAGGACTGAGAAGAGGAGCAGCTCATTGGAGATGAGAGTAGGAAACTAAGACGAGGAGGAAACTGAGGAGGAGGACGAGAGCGAGGACGAGGAGGAAGACTAGGAGGAGGACTATAAGAAGGAGAAGGACGAGGACGAGGACTGGAGGAGGAGGACTGATGATGAAAGGAGAAGGAGGACTGGGGGAGGACTGAGGAAGAGGAGACTTATGGAGGACTGAGGAGAGGAGACTGAGGAGGCCTGAGAGGATGATGAGGAGGAGGACTGAGGATGAGAAGGAGGAGAAGGAGGACTGGCGGAGGACTGATAGGAGGTGGACTGGGGGAGGACTGAGGAGGATGAACGAGAGCGAGGACAGAGGAAGACAAAGGAGGAGGACTGTATAAGAAGGAGAAGACGAGACGAGGAACTGAGTGAGGAGGGACAGATATGAAGAGGAGAAGTAGACTGGGGGAGACTGAGGAAGAGGAGACTTAGGGTAGGACTGAGGAGAGAGGACTGAGGGAGACTGAGGAGATGATGAGGAGAGACTGAGGAGAGAAGGAGGAGAAGGATGACTGGCGAGACTGATGAGGAGGTTGGACTGGGGAGGACTGAAGGAGGAGGACTTAGGAGTAGGAGGAGAAGGAGGAGAAGGAGGAAAGGAGGAAAAGAGGAAAAGGAGGAGGAGGACTGAGGAGAGGAGGAGGACTTAGTATAGGAGGAGAAGAAGTAGAAGGAGAAGGAGGAACTGAGGAGGAAGAGGAGGAGGACTGAGGAGAGGAGAAGGACTGAGGAGGATGACGATGAGATGAGACGAGAGGAGGACGAGGAACTGACGAGTAGGAGGAAGGACTGGGGACTGAAGAGAGGAGGACTTGAGGATGAATAAGATGAGAGCGTGATAGAAGAGGACTGAAGAGGATGAGGAAGAGGAGGAGGACAGAGGAGTAGGAACTGATGAGGAGAAGGAGGAGAGGACTGAGGAGGAGGACTGATGAGGAAGACTGAGGAGGACTAGGACGAGGACTAAGGACGAGGAGGAGGAGGACTGATTAGGAGAAGAAGAAAGCGAGAAAGGAGGAGGAGATGAGCTGAGGGAGGAGAAGAGGAGAATGAGGAGGAGGGATTGGGGGAGGACTGAGGAGGAGGATAAGGAGGACTAAGGATGAGGATAGGACGAGGACGATTTGAGGAGGACAGAGATGAGGGACTGATGAGGAAGGAGAAAGGAGGAGGATGAGGATGGAAGGAGGGACTGGGGAGGACTGAGGAGGAAGAGGAGATGACTGAGAGGAGGTATGAGGAGGATGACTCAGAAGAACTCAGGAGGTGGAGGAGGAAATGAGGAGGAGGACTCAGGAGGAGGACGACGACCTGATTGGGGAGGAGAAGGAGAGGGAGGATGAGTAGGAGAAATGAGGAGGAGGAGGAGAAAGAGAAGGAGGAGGACTGATTAGGACGAGGAGGAGGAGGGGACTGAGGAGCAAGGTGAGGAGGACTGAGGAGAGGACGAGGACGAGGACAGGAGTCAGGAAGAGACAGAAGAGAACTAGGAAAGGACCTCAGTAGGAGGAGGAAGACTAGGAGGAGAGAGGACTGTTGAAAGGAGGAAGGAAGAACCAGGGAGGAGACATGTAAATACCGTTTTGTCTGTTTATTGTCCGTTTTTGTTCGCCCTACATTTTGTCCGTTTTGAAAATATAGGGTACCGAACGGACACAAAACATGATCCCCCAGCCAATGCAATGTGTTTACGAACAAATTGTACTTGACAATACATTTAAGGTGCATGTGTACTAGTGATATTATGGTATGTTTTTAAAGACCGGAACCACAAAAGATAACCCGGACCTAGTGTTGTACTAATAAATAATATTAAGTAACAGGGATAAAATAATAGTAGCGAAACAATCGATCACACGACAAAGGCCAAAGCACTCGGGTCTGGAGTAAATGACAACGTCAACTAGTAGTGAGCATACTAGCGCCCCTGCAGTGGAAAAACACATAAAAACATACTATTGGAATGTCCAATTGGTTCGTATTTCTCATAAAAATATATCAATATGGAGGTGTTCTTGTTGAATTATATCACTTCCAGAAGTTTTAGAGATCGATTCTGTTAATTTCCCTTCAATTTTCCATTTTTCCGATTCCGATTTGCCTCATCACCTCATATCGGACATCGGGTTGGACCCCCCCCAAGATATTAACCAAACGATTCGACCAGTCGTTTGAGACCTTGCATTGATCTGGAGTATGCTGCAGCTCGTACACGGTACTTGGTACCTGATCCACCCCCCCCGGTAATCTCGAGAGTTACAGCAGCTCGGACTTAGTACCTGACCCCCCCCCCCCCGTATGCAGCATCTCGTACTGACTTAGTACCCTGACCCCCCCCCCTCCGGCCGCGTTTTTTCTGTTACTGTTCACCTGTTTTAACTGGAATCACCCAGAACAGGCTACTAAGCTTAACAGTGGCACCTCGAGAAGGGTGTGGCTCTTCACCACGCACTTCGGATCTTGGGCTCGGAGAGGTTGTGTAAGACACTTCACGAGCCCCTGGAGTTTGGAAAACCCCTCTCCACAAACAGGACACTACACCGAATATGAAAAAATCATAAACAGGATGAGGCCGAGGGAGGGGTAAGGGAGGGGTAAGGGAGGGGTAAGGGAGGGGTAATGGAGGGGTAAGGGAGGGGTAATAGGGTAAGGGAGGGGTAATAGGGTAAGGGAGGGGTAATGGGGTAATGGAGGGGTAAGGGAGGGGTAAGTGAGTGGTAGGGATGAGTAAGGGAGGGTAAGGGAGGGGTAAGTGAGTGGTAAGGGAGTAGGATAAATTTCCTACACTGGGAAGGGGAAGGTGCCTTGCTTATGGAAGGGGTTGCAACAGTTACTATTGGTAAAATACAGTTGATTAAGATAAAGAAGAAAGCAGTGCTTTTAGAAGTTATCTGCCATTCTGCCGCTAAGATATGAGTAAGATATGAGTAGCACTGATACAGCCTGCAGACTATGAAGTTTTTGCTGATCCACAATTATCTTACTGAGTCCATTAAGGATCAAATGTAATCTTAATTTGAGTACTTATTTTATGAAAGATAACATGTTTAGTATGAAAACAAACCTCTTTCTGACGACAAACTTTTACTTGAGCGTCTAAAATTACCATATCCTGAAAAAGCTCTGTTTAGAAAGTACTTTAAGTTAGTTTCAGAAGTTTAAGAAAGTTTCACACAATTTGAGAATATAAAATCGAATCATCACAAGCAATGGATAAAAGTTTAAAACAGTGAATAACTTACTTGTGATATGGACCAATAGTTGAAAGTTAGGATGCATGTGGTAACACAAAGGGCTACGCTGATAAGGTTACTTCCGCTCTTGTACCACATCTTTATATTGCTAACAAACTGTGCAGGGAACATGATGATATTTATACATTATACAATAATATAAAGTTGTAATTATGGTTCAATTATACATCTCTTGCTACAACATGTACAGAAATGCAGTCTTAAACGCCATTGCGATTTAACCATTTAGCCACTAAAATAATAATATGGCACAGGTCTAGTACGACTAGAATAACAAATATGGCGCCAATTTCTTCCGCCATTTCAATTTCTACGACATATAGCCCAAATAAGTTGTTGTTTATTTTGACATTATGTTCAGTAATTGTATTCCGACGAATACAAGCTGCAGCAGTGACTACTAAATCAACCAGTGGTGTAACGAAAGGCCCCGCTGACCCCACTGTGCGGGGGGGGGGGCGGAAAATCGTCGTTTGAATGTGGGTCAATTTTGAAAAACTTAACTGAGGTACTATGATCTAGCAAAACTGCGCATTTTGCTCTAGAAACACACTTTTTTAGAGATTTTACCAGCATATCCTCTAAAATCACCTAATTTGTTCAATTTTAGGGAGGGGTGCTAAAAGGGGAGGGGCGCCAACAGGGGAGCGCATTTTCGGCAGGGGGGGCGCCAACAGGCAAAGTTACACCACTGAAATCAACCCCTTATAAGCTATGGCCGAATGCTTTTAAATAAGTTTGATTTGAAGAATATAATGAATAATTCAAATAACTATGTTTTCTCATCAAGCTGCTAACACATACAATGCCTCAACAGTATCTCAGTAAAGCCAGTGCTTCAATTGTTTAGACCCACTACACATCCATAACTTAAATAGCTGATTTAAATGACAACCTATAGTCAACAGGAAATCGGGAAAAGTTCTCCCCAGCCTTAGCCAACAACCTGTCAGTATTTGATTAATAATTTATTAATATCAAGAAAACAATAATCTGAAAACGTTTCTTTTTGCTGAAAGAAAGACAAACGCAAGTTGATGAAACAAGGAGGTCTGGAAAGAAAGATAGTTGGTATCGTATCACCATGTAAATTAATAGACTGCACACTGTGTCACACAATATTAGCTCAAATTCTAAGTGAGATTAAATTGGTAAATGACTAAAACTCATAAACAAACAGACAAACGCACGGTTTGTGTTATCAGAATTTGAAGAAGAGCGCTCGATTCGTTCGTAAAAATTTTGCTCAACACTGACATTTTTGTAAAACGCCGCGCGCTTATGAAATTGCTTCGTATGAAGAAAAATTACAATACTGATTTCACATCATTAATATAATATTATTAAATTTGATAAAAAATGTAAATTATTCATCATGTATAACAAATTCATTAGTAAGTAAGTAAGTAAGTAAGTAAAGATTATGACATAACATCATCACAAGTGTCTACAAAATATCATTGCACTAAAAAGAAAAATAATTTAAAGAAATATATTTTTCCATCAACATTAATAATTTATCAAATTCAATTTTATTAATTAATAAAATCTTCACATAGCCATGTGTCTACGCGTACTGCGTGACGCGCTTGTTTCACAAGTCGGCGGTCGCGCACTACTAAGTACTGCAAGCGAGAGCTGGCTCTGGTTAGAGCAAAATAAAATCTAATACATTATATATAAATATTTCATTAAAACTTCCCAGTGGAATAAAGATTTACAAAACGCTTCTTTGCCACAAAAGGATGAAACCAAAAATATTCATTATGTCTCTCCTTATTGCTTAAATAACTGGGTCCTTCAATTTTCCTTAAAACTTCATTTGAAACATTCCAAAAATAAAAATCATTTACATTGTTTTTAGAAATCATTTCTTTCTTAAATCCTTCTAATCTAACTTTAAAATTTAAAACTGTCGAGCAGTTCTTGACATCTGGAGGGAGTTTGTTCCAGTAAGGAATGACTCGCTCCGGAAGAAAAGAAGACTGGAGATTCTTCACTTTAGTTACACTCTTACTACATCTATTGGTTGAAACAAGATTAAGACCAGATCTGCTCATTTAATTCTGAACAAACCCGATCCATGTTCACTCAAACCACTAGTTACTTTAAAAGCTTCAATAAGGTCCCCACGTATTCGCCGCTCTGCCAGCGTTGTCAAATTGAGGATATCCAGTCTACGGCTGTATGGAAGAGTACCCACCTCATCAATAAGACGGGTAAACCGCCTCTGGACGCTCTCCAGCTCCAAAACAGTCCCCCAACTTCCATGAGCCGCAACTGGATTCCACAATTGGACATTAGAAGTAATAAAAGCGAAAGTTTCTACGCCGCGCATATTCGCTTTGTCTAAACCCTGTATCGTACGAATCGAGCGCTACCATTAAAATGCCAATCTTGCAACTTCCGTGTATTTGTTGATAGTACGTGATCGCCTTGTAATAATATTTTGACGAGCACCATTTTTAACCAGAATCTTCCGATTTCGAGCCCATTCAAGCGACCTCTGGACCTCCAACCCATGTTATGAATTAGGTTATGCTTTGTCTTATTGTTTTACTGTACTTCGTATTGGGAACATAGCCAAAACATTATGCAATTTACAAGTCTCTTTCCTGAGCTGTTGTCACGTTAAATTCTTACAATCTCGAAGAAGCAGTTTAATTCATACCGATACAATACATAATGTACATGATACAACGGTCATAGACCATATGTCATAAATGGGCATACAAATCTTGCGTTTGGTTTGATTATCCTTGTTAATTGTGAGAAAACTTGAAGCTGAATGACTTACCCTTCGAGATGGACAGTTGAAACTTAACGCCTGTCACATTATGAACAGACTCATCTCGTTCACTATATCCGGTACGGGAAAGTCTGTAGCCGTGATAAGAAGCCACCATGAAGCAATTCATGTCCCTCGGACACTGATCAGTATTTGAATGAGTATTGTGTATCTTAATAGTTTTCGGACGTTATCTGTATTTGAGAGACAATTTTATAATTTACATACTCTATTTCTTGATTGTTTCACACTTCATATTTCATAATTTTATCACTAGGTGGAGGTGATGTTATTGAGACTTTGGGCGGCCATAAAACTCGTGTTTTGAAAGTTGTCCTCTGTACTTGTTTCACTGACCCACGCTTTATAGCATTTATACATTTCGGCCCATTTTATATTAGGACGCAATGAAACTACCGGACTGCGATGTATGGGGACTTGCCACCCCATGGCAACATTAAAATATATCGACTCTGTTACATCGTTTCCTCAAATTATTTGTTATATAGTAGTGTTGAAAGTATTAAAGTAAAAATATGTTTGTTCGATTTGCTGTACATTTGTATATTTGCTATTTTGTAAAAGTTTCAAAAAAAAAAAAAATCATGTTGCTCACATATCACAAATGATGATGTGCGAGGGTGGAGTGGAGAGGGTGGATTAGTTGTTTCACATTGTCTTTTGCATATTCAATAATTTGAATCATGTATTTCTAGTAGGTGCTAGCAATGTCAAAAGTTGGTGTATGTCGGATAACATCAGTGTTTACTATAATACTATTCACATTATCTGTTCTTGGATACTCACAATGTAAGTACTGTTATATTTTTAATAAAATTTAACTTTGTTTCTCTTATCATGTTTTAAATCCCCAATACGATTTTGAACTGTAAATACCATAAGGTAGGAGCCATCTAGTTAAAGATAATAGTATATTGTACCTTTTTGTGAACCTTCTAAAAAAATCATATCAATTTTAAAACTCTATATTTTAAAACTCTATATTTTAAAACTCTATATTTGCTCTACTGTCTAATTTTTAATGCTGCACATGACAATATTGTATACCAGGATGTGTGAAACATTTCATTTTTCAGATTACCTAACACCTCTGGATACGACAAAGTATCCCAGTGAAGAAATAACTATAGCTATGTTGTGTGAGTACATATATTACATTTTAAATATATTCATTATAATATGAAATTTATCATACTTAATTTGTGAGCAAACTAAGTAACGTGCTCAAACACCACATATCAATTAGTCTCACCTTCATAATGTAACTGTAATTACGAAAAATTCCATGTTACAGTAGCTTGGGTAATCATTAAAGTTATGGCCAATGAAAAGAAAACATGTTTCCTTATCAGAGGTCAAACTTAGTTGTTATCTGAAAAATAGGTTTAAAACAAGGACCTGAATTTTGATTTTTATAATATCTCGTATCTGTTATCTCATATACCCCATATACACCATATAGAGTCCTGTAGGTAACTTTCAATTCAGTTGCACAGTGCACTAGTAACATCGCCAGAATATGTCCAATTCACAGGTTTTGCATAGTAAGGAAATGGGCTCCCAGCATGAGCATTGAACAATGATTTACATTGACTAGTAATAACAAATTACTGTGTGTATTTTCATTCACCAATAGACACTGTGAGTCTGACAGTGAGCATGAACTCGGCGAATAAAAGATTTCCTATCAGGAGTACACACCATACATTGTTCTTTTCAACACAATAATACATCTAAGATACAGCACAATAGACGCTATAAAATCGGCTGCACTAGTGCATTGTGTATTGTGTATTGTGCATTGTGCATTTTGCATCGGCATTACTATACATTATTACACTAACAATGTGTTCTACTCTCTCCTCCACAATTGGTTTCCTCTGCAGCTATGTGATGTGGTGAGACCCCTGGATCATTTTAATGAACTGTTGAGAAATACCTGTGAAATAGACAGGGGGGCGGGGATCATACACTTAGTATTGAACGTGACGTTGGGGTGGTGAGTCATATTTTCTTCCAAACCACAGTTAGTACTTTTGTACTTAGTGGTGGGTATGCTGCTCATTTTCCAGAAAAAAAAATTAGTACATGGTACTAAGGGGGTGTCCACTGTCCAACCTCAAAAAACCCATTTTACCTCAAATTTCAAATTTGGGAATGGGTTTTTTTCCTTTTTTTGTAACTTTGTATCTAATTCGACTACATTGAAAACAGAATCCCTACGAAATAGTGGGTATAATTTACCCATTTCCCAATGTTTAATGAACTATTTATTTAAGCAATTTCTGGGTGAGTATCTTATCTTATATACCTAGACACTGTTAGTACTGTGATTTCTCAACAGTTAGTACCGCAAAAGGGGTGGGTGTCTTTATTATTATCCAAAAAACAGTTATTAGTACCGCAAAGGGGGTGGGTGGGTCTTTTGAGAAATTCCAAAATTACACTTAGTCGACGTCACGTCCAAAACTTAGTACCTGATCCCCTTGTCCTAACTAATTAGTAATCAAGAATATTCTTGATATAAATAAATCAATTCAGTTAAACAAAAATTCAGTTAAACAAAAATCCTAGTTCAATGTGTAGTTGTCACTCTTTAAATTCTTGATATAAATAAATCAATTAATAACAAACTGTTGGATTGAGGTTGGAGATGGAGATGGCACTTCCTCTTTACTTTCATACTAATTATAATTTATCCCATGGTAATTATATATGTACTTAATAGATTGGGCTAAATCTGTCCGACAGCCGAATTAGGGATTTCGGACAGATGTCGCTGTCGGAGGAGTCGTTTTTGGCGATATCTGTCCGAATTTCAGATCATATATTTGTAATTTCGGATCACATTCGTATTTCACAAGCTCACGGGTAATCTTGTGACGTTGCTCCCATTGTTCTAATGCTGATGACGTGATCCATTGAGATGTGATCCATCGATAAGTGATTGACTATTTGAGGACAGGATCGTGCTAGCCGTACACTAACAAGCTGTCGATCACATCACAGGTCACAGCCTACATGAGTACATATAGGACAGTGGTATGTAGATCAGTTATCGCAATCCACAATGGCAACCAATGAACCAATCTTCAGTTTATCGCAAACAAGGCTCCCAGAACAAGCCCTTACAGACGTGAAGAAAACCAAAGACGGGCGGGCGGGAACTACCTGAGCTACGTGCACCCAAATGGATCCGTTATGATCGACAACTTCAGATAATTGTAGATGATTACACAACTACAGCAACCCTATGGATTTCCTAAAAGCTATCGGAAATTTGGCTATGCTTTAGATTTGATTCTTTGATATTGTATTTTATTGAATTAATTTAAATATAAAATCTAAACTATTGTCCAATTGTTACGTATACAAATTAGCAAGTAACAGCTCAGATCATGTTTCTAATTGGAAATGTGTCGTAATGAAATCAGATCACAATTTCGGACAGATGTCGTTTTTTTTTCTGGTACCCTGAGGCCTGAGTCGGACAGATGTCGCTGTCGCGTCGGAAAGATGTCGTGTTATATCATATTCCAGATTAAATTGCTATTGCAATATTAAATGTTACCATGGAGTTTCTGACATGTTCACAAACACTAGTTTAGGCAATTCGATGTTGAATTACTAATTTTGGCGACGGAATCATGAGTATTAACAGTATGGTATACCATCTGCAAAGTTACAGTTTTCATGGTTATGTTATTTAAACTTATAAGACCCAACGTATGAGTACTGATGTTTGCCCCCGGCTCTCCCCTTACATAATAATTTTTTAAAGATCTCACTCACGCTCACGTACGATTCTTTGTTCGTATCATAATTGTTATTAAAAATTGTTTATTTATACAAGGGGAAAAAAGGCAGCTTATTGGTGCATTTGAAGCAGTGCGATCGATCGCACATAATAATTTTTAAAAGATCTCACTCACGCTTACGTACGATTCTTTGTTTTTATCACTATTATTATTCAAATTTGTTTATTTATACAAAGAAAAATAAAGCCAGCTTATTGGTGCATTTGAAGCAGTGCGATCTAAAATAAGCAAAATAAAATATACAGTGCACTTTGAGCGTATGAGAAATATCAATTTGGGCGAGGGCAGCACAATTTATTCATATTTATATATATGAATAAATTGTGCTGCCCTCGTCCAAATACTTATAATATATAAGTATTCCTTCTATATCTGAGAATGCACAGCAGGTAACTGTCAACTCAGTGATGTCGGTCTGATCTGAGCTATGAGGGACAGAGCACTCACAACTAAAGTTGTTATTTTGCTCGCATTTTTCACCACCACCCGACTAAGCGTGATAACGACCCATCTAAGGGGCTTATCAGATTTCAAGCAGGAGCTTTCAGAGTCGACAGTTTTAGATTACGATATAGATGAAAATCTAGCTGATCGTTGCTTTGGACAAACCTTTATTTACTTGCAACTTAACCCTAAAATCCTAGAAATCACACACGATCGTGCCGAGGGTGACAATTTAATTTGTGATTTCAATTTTGATTTCACATTTTTGAAAACAAGAGAATTGGCATCATATACAGATTCTGGACTGCCGCCTGATTTTCGAGACGAAGACACTTGGTTCATTTGCAAGCTAAACAACACCTCCCAAATCTGTGACGGATATTCCCAATGCCTAACCGACGAATGCAATTGTCTTGGTAACCAATCGCCTGTTTTCTACTGTGCAGATGGTTCGGGCTGTGTCGCAATGGATAATCTCTGTGACAAAATTCAGGATTGTACTGATGGATCTGATGAGTGCTTCTGTACAGATTACTTTGTACTTTCGGTTTCAGGAACCGCCGACAAGATCTGTGTTACAGAAGATCGGTATTGCCAGGAGAATGCGTACCGTTCATCCAAGTACTCCATTGAGGTAGGGAATCCCAATTTATGTAATGAAAAGCAAGATTTTGCTACGCATTTAAGCCCACTTCATACATGTTTATTAAAGTATCAACCAGAACAATATAATATAACGATGGCAGAGTTTTGCCGTGTCAACTGCAAACATGTCGACGGATTTGAGAACGGCTGGGAGAACTTCTGCGTCCATATCGGGATGGGATATCCTGTACCTCATGTGTTTCGCTGCAACCCGAAGGATTTCACAGAAACATATTCCCTGCACTATATGTGTGATGGGGAGGTAAATTGCGACAACCAAGCAGACGAGACTGGGTGTCCAGGACGGTTTTATTGCAATCCTAATGAGACTGCTGAGTGGGTTGATAACAACAAGGTTTGTGATAACGTGAAGGATTGTATCAATGGAGCTGATGAATGTGGAACATGCCAGTTTGAAGAGCTGTCTTCCTCTGATTTCCTTATCAAATCAAACTTTGTCTTCACTGTAACGATCATCATGGGCATCTTGATTGTTATAATGAACATGAAAGAGGGTTACAAATGTTGGACTATGAAGTGCAACTCTAAAGTAAAACAGGTTGACAACGTGTTTTTGATGCAAATTTTCTTCCATGATACCCTCATGGGAGTATATTTGTGTTGTATAGTAATAGCAGCTTTAGTTCTCGGGAATAAAGGCGAGTACTGCCAGCTGGAAGAAATGTGGAGAGCCAGTCCATTCTGTTCTCTTCTTGGAGTCCTATTTTCCTTCTCGTCTCACGGCTCGCTTATGTTGATAGCTTCCATAAGCATCACCAGGTTCTTGTCATGCCACAGCATAGTGGTTGATATTAGAGTGAGAATCATCGTTATGTGGCTCACTTTTCTGAATATCCTCAATTTACTACACTCGGTTCTTCCTTTGATGCCAGTCTCGTCGATTAGAGATATTTTCAGAACGAAAATATTCTTTAGTCACTTGGATCAAAATCCTTTCTTCGGCACAAATCCCATTAACCGGTCTCGTCTTGCTATGGTTCACAAGGGAATGCTCCACAGAGATGATGATGATATCTACAGAATGATCAGTGACCTGAGTAATGTCACATCAAATAGGGAGATCTTTGATGTCACAGAGATTAGCTACTACGGTAATACAGGTTTCTGTGTCCACAACATATTCAAATCCCAAGACTCCTATGAGATCTATATAATCCTCTACTGCACAAGTATCGTGGTCCTACTTAGTATTGTCATCACCGCATACATTA